ATAACATTTGTATGGCGTTATAGCAGAGCTGCTGTATTGGATTACTTTAGATTATACAGGTGAACCTACTATTGTGCCCACTGAGTGTATATTTGTCATATTAAATGTGAAACGTTGCATCACCGTCATGAAATGAGAAAATGGCAGGAACAGCTAAAAGCCTGTGTCACACCAGTTAAAACTACATTTCCATTAAAAACCTTTTGCCCCCTCCCTCTCTCTGAAAATTGAAAAGACTGATTTATGTAATAAAGGATTGTTACTCTCTTCCCGTTTGATGTAATGAAGCAATCAAGAAGGTTTCCATCAAAATTTGGACCTTCTTTGGTGGGTGGGATTTTTAGTAATTTTGGTGTGAAAACGTACTTTTGGAAATCGTAGTTTGACAAAAAAATCTTCCACCTGCTAGCTAAACAGACGGTGTGAGCAAAACTGGACATGTTATAACCCGAAAAGGGCTCAAAGTCATCGACCTGGAGTCAGTAGAAGGACAGAGAAAGAATATTAACATCTGAAGTCAAAGACAGAGGTTAACATCTCTCTCAAGTCCACTATAACAGTGGTTTTGAGGTTAAACACCTAACAGCTAGTTAGCAGACATAACCCAGGGGGTATGATGATTTCATGCAAATACTATGACCGTTTTCCTGAATAAAATTAAATTGCGAGCGCAATGTATCGCCTAGCTTAGAGTATCGCATTATATCACAATATATTGAATCATAACCCCTGTATCACAATATGTATCGTATCGACACACATTTGCCAACACACAGCCCTAGCCCATAGGTGAAATTATTCCAACATTTTCATGGAACATTAAGATGAAGATCAAGGTGAAAAATGGAGGAAAAAAGTACATAACAGGAGCAGAAGTGTAGAAAAGATGTCAGAGGAGATAGCAAATACAGATACAGAAGGATAAGAGACACACAGATGGGGAGAGATGAAAAGTTTCAAGTTCCTAATCAGTGATCAGGGCTGACGCCAGCTGAGGCCTCACCAGTGTCGGTGCTTGTGCTATCCACACACACACATACACACACACACACAAAAACCCACACATATGCTCCTAGTGACAGGTGGGGGAGTGCGGGTCAGTGTCGGGGCCTTCTTGTCACTGGGCAGTTAAGAATTGACACCTGATTGCTGTATGAAGTCTCTCTCTCTCTCTAGGTGTAGTCACAAGTGTGTGTGGGTGTGTGTGTGTGTTTTTGTGTTAGGAGCATGTGTGTGTGTGTGTGTGTGTGTTAGGAGCTGTCATGCAGCTGTCTTGTCAGATCTGATCCCCACTAACCCTCAGTCAAAAAACATGCCACCGTAATAGCAGCACATGTGCAGTCCAGAGAGCAGCAACATCAATCACACACTCCTGGATTCTTGCAGGTTTTCAAGTTGATCATAACTCCAACCTCAAACTTTGTTTTTCTTTTCCTTTCTCTTTTACAAGGGCACTGGTTTGCAATGTGTTTGAAATATACAGTAAATGATGCTGAATAGACTGTTCAGAGTAAAGTTTTAGAACCGAAATGCGTCGTGTACCTGATGATGGGTTCAATGAAACACAGAAAACTTTCATTTATTGTAGGTTAGTCAGCATTTTTGAGGAGGTAGATCCCTTAGGTTTTTTGGGTTTTTTTTGGCCTTGGTCCAACCTGAAATACACTGCTTCATTGTGCTTCATTCTCACAATTGCATCCTTTTTCAAGTTATGTCACTTCAATTGCAAGTCACTGGGGAGGGAATAGCCTAGTACCTTTTTATGTTGTGTTCCCACTCCCCTCGATGTGGGTGTAACACTGGAGAGAAGATACATTTAAGTGATCTTTATAAAAAGAAACAATGTTTTTAGAGGTTAAACTTGAGTGAGACAAACTGTCGTAGTTTGGAAATAACCGCTCCTGAAAAGTGGACACCACATTGCAATTTCATAACGAAGATTTCTGACATAAGTGAGCAAAACTTGGGTTAGGGTTAGGGTCTGTTAACAGACCGTTGGAAGGTGGTTTTGGCTCTACTTTCACTTTCTGTTAGCAAGCAGAGCCAAGCCTCCTGACATCCCCCAAACACCCTCACCCAACTCTAGTTTCAAAATCAGTAGGAGTAGGAGGAGGAACAGGCAGGGTGGTGTAAAACTACTCTTTAAATGTGTAGACAGGAATCAAAATGAGGTAGGTAGAAATGTACGTACAATATCAAAATGTTACTTTTGAGTTGTTTTCAATGAAGACAGTAGAATGCTACAAGGCCAAAGAGCAACATAAAAGTTGAGTTGGCATATAAATAAAACACTTTTACACTGCAAAAATCCATTTTTGGTACGGCCACCTTTTCCATAATGTAGCCAGAGGTGGAATGTCATTACTTTATTACTGTACTTAAGTAGTTTTTTTCAGGTA